AAATTTCACCCAGTATCGATCAGTTCTGAGGAGCAATTCATCATCATCGTGTTTGTGTTCATTGCATCCGGTGTTTGGCTTTATACAATAAAACTGATTTGAAGTCATTCATAGTCCGTCATCAGTGGAAGAATCACCATGGACTTTGGTTTGTTTCATATCGCCGCACTCAGCAATATTTCAGCTGTATGAAGGAAGCCTGTAAATAATCAAGTCTGGACCAAACCGCTAGGGTGCGATGATGAGCAACATCCAGGTCACCGAACCTGATCACCAATCTATTAACCAGCAGAGTGAGTTTAGATTTATGCCGCACTCAGCAATATTCCAGCTATATGGTGGTGGTCTGTAAATAATCGAGTCTGGATCGACAGCAAGAGCATCGAAGAGATATGACATGTGTCAATCAAGTCAGTTGGTGGGAACCTTTTCTAGTGACTGCATGACCAACAAATGTGGACCATAAATCCAGTGGACAGAGGGTCAATCTCAGGTATGCAATGGCACAGCAGCTTCATGTGGAAGGGACGTACAAGTCATTGGCGGATCCAGAGGGGGTGGTGGTGTCCAAGAGGGTTCGGGGGACCCCCCACCCACCCCCGAAAATGACTTAAGACCACATTGAAGATTTTTTTTTGCATTGGCAGAGCCAATGGGGGTTCAGGGGGTTCGAAATGATAAACGAATGACGTCGTCAGACCTTATTAGACCGATTTCACGTGGTGCAGGTATAGGTGTGGTTCTTGTGTCTCGATGCGCAGGCTACTGTTTTAATCCACCTGTTGCTTGGCCGTCAGCTGACTATGTGGTCAGTTCTACACTGTAATGACCTTGCAGTTTGAAAAAACGTATACATTGTACTAAAATTGTTACCATGTAACCAAATTGTATAACATATTTAACCGGAGTCGGTGGCCTTTCCAACAGAATCTTTTTTCATGAAACCTAAAACGTATATGCACTACATCTTGCTTGCCATTGGTGAATGTGCCGGCATTCTACGTTTATTACTAAAGTTCTTACATAAATCGTACGATATGTCCCTCCTCTTCCACCTTCATTTTGATATCGATAGTACATATCCAAATACATCACGCAGATAAATGCAATTTGCAGTTTTGAACACTGTTTGAAATTTTGTTTTTCTATGATATCATCCGCTCATTGTAGATAAAATTTACTGAAAATTACATGCATCGTAAATCTCGCCAGTTTTGACACATTCTAAATCACCATTCACTGCGTTTTGCGTAATTTATGGTATGTCTTCATTCAAATGTCAAATTTTACTGGGAGAATTGAATTTAAAAGAAAAAGACGTGATCATTGTGATCAGCGGTAGTTTTGTTGTTGTATGATCGAATCACCAATGCTCGTTCTTAAACATTATCGATGAACCGAGAATCGCTGAGAATGTTTTGGAAAATACATAAACGCCAAAGTGAATTTTAAGCTGTATTACATAGTGTTTATAAAATCACGCCACATGTATGTCGGTTATGTTTCTCATTCCATAAAATTAATAGTATAATTCAACACCATCTTCCTTACATAAATCCCTGAATTCCTCATACAGTTCAAAATAAACTGACAAATGGACTCTGTCACCAATACTGAAGTGTTTCAGTGAAATCTAACGAAATATATCGAGGATATGAGATGATGCAGCTGTGAAAGAATACTTGTTTGAAATGTATACAAAGCCAATCTCAGATTTTACACTGTGTATCCTTTCGCCTACTTGTTGCATACAATTGCTCATGAGTTTTAGAACATGCATGGGAAAGTTATCGTAGCAAGCAATAGTTAAATAAACAGGTGTATTCCAATGATTTTCTAGATTCATCACAACATATTATAGTTTTTGAAAGCATGACGACATAACTGACGCAAACTCACGCATAACGATGACGGTACTTCTCTTAATTTCTGACTATTTCCCTTGGTCACAATGAAAACAATGAAAACAAATTTCCTTCGAAAACTCTGGCGTACTTCGTGTCAGTGAACACGCCATTTTGAAAAGTCGCTTAATTCCCGATAGTGATCTCATACGGACGCCAACATTGTTATACATATTTGGTATTTTCACTGAGGCGTGGTTATGAATGAAAATACACACGATCAATCCGTCCTGCTGCTTACATTTTCTGTTCTTATGCTTCTTTCGTATTTTCACAAACCTTTTTTCACGTGATTAATATCAGTATTATTATCTTTTGATTTGGGACTAGACAGGAGACCAGTTTAAAATCAAGTGGCACCAATAACGTCATAATCAAAGGGCGGTAACTCAGGCCTGTTTAGCTCGGCAAACAAATACCTCAGATTGGCATAACATTTCAGCACTTATTTTGAGGGTTATACTTACATTGTAAGAAAAATGAGTGTATATTTTCAAACATTGGTATTAACTAATTAAAACAGTTCGCTTTGAATCACATAAGAATAAATGTGATTTATTCGTGTACACTTCCCCTTTAAAGTCAAAGACAGAGGTGTGCAGTAGTTGAAAGTTGTTGTACGGGATCTGTGATCAACATCATCCATTCTATATGAGAGCCAGCCTCCACGCTCAGCCAGTGGTCTTGTCATGCAGCGTCACACTGCTCGCCCCACACCGCAGACGCCCAGATGATGGGGGCAGAATAGGAATGGGGAAAGAAGATGCACTATTGCCTCTGGAGACAACTCCAAACTGAGGCTTGTTAAACAACAAGGCATTACGCAGTACTCGGTAAACACAAGCACACACCTGTTACTAAGCTACAGCTGGCTCCCTAACACTCCCCTAGTCTCTCAGTTGCTATCTTTCAGTAGTACAAGGCACCCAATGTATGTTCAGGGACATTGGAAAAATGTTACAAGTCTAACTACATTATTCTTGTCTCCAACTAAGGGATGTATGTTCATATTCATGCCTGATGTGCTTAGGATTCAATTGCATGAACAACCAGACATACAGACATGTCACCGTTGGTTTTCTTGTCTTCACAATAGACAAAGATCTTAGTTGCATACACATCAAGGCTTTCAGAAACAACACGTGCATGACTCGTCAGCAGCATATACAGACAGCCTTTATTATTGTCCATTCTGGAATGTCTGCTTACATTTGCTTCACAGATACAGATCCAAATACTTCAGCTATTGTTACATATCTGGGAACCCAACATGACTCCATGATGATGTGAAGATTCACAGTACGACTTCCCATGGAGAATTTATCAGATCTTGACGACGAGAAGTCATATCAGAGTAAAACATGTCATTAAAAATGATATTGAATTATGTCCTGTGTGTACTGAATCGATGCCTAATGACGCCAGTTTGTATAAAATATTTGAAAAAATTTCAAGTGGAATAAATTGGGTGAAAAGTAAAGGTTTCAATTAATTCCTGTATATGAAGCACAAATATTCTTGAAACCAATTTGTATCAGTCAATGATAGTTCAAGTTTTATTTACGAATTGTAAAGTTTTTCAGTCAACTTTGTGTGCGTATTTTTGGTTAACAGTTTCTTGCTGGAGGCATCATCAACCACCTTGATAGTGTCTTCCCCTATGGCTTGGTTGTCAAAATTACTTCTTCCTCAATGTCCTCAGTATCTGTTATAATGAGATTGATGTCCCTGGAATCCATAACCTCAGAGTGTCATGACCTTTTGGGATTACCCTACACAATCACCCAATCTGTGAAATATGATTTTGAAAACACCCTTGAGTGCTCTCTCAATTTGAATAGAAATGAAATATTACAGTCGATATGTGGTACCCTTGCCTTATACAGGTAGATGACCAGGTCACTGTAAAACCTTCACAGGTACTTTCTGACTTCCATATCAATCCACTTAGCCTATGACATTAATTAAAGGGTTTTTTGGGGGACAAAAAAATAATTCAAGCTTACGTTTTCTATGAAATTGCCTGCATCACTGAATGATTCCAAAATAAACTTCAAGCACAAAAAAAGAGGAAGGATCTACTGCCAGAATAAGTATTAATTCAAAATGGCCTTCAAAGGCAAATTTCTCCTGGGATTCCTCCCTTTGAACACAACAGATTTAGACAATATTCTTATTATCTTGATTATTCAGCATTGTCTTAGCTTTCTTACTGTTCTCCAGTCATGATACTGGACATTACAAGACCTGTTCCGTTTCATATACACAGAAGACCATCACAAACATTATTTCTGATAAAGAGGTGGTAAGGAAATCAAAATTTCCAAATATTTATGAACTTTTATGTCATATTAATATCTGTATGTCTACTGTAACAGTACATACTTCAATTTTGTTAAAAGAAACTGTAACTGAATGGAAACAAAAGGTATCTTGAATGTTGAACAAGCTGAATATATATGTCAGGGTAGACACTGCGATCTGGTAGAATCAGAGATTCTACCAGTAGAGAATGCGCTCAGAGTCTCTACCAGTAGAGATTGCGATCGGAGTCTCTACTGGTAGAATCTCCGATCCTACTAGTAGAGATTGCAATTGTAGTCTCTACTGGTTGAATCAGAGATTCTACCAGTACATTTTCTAATTCAACAGGTAGAAACTCCGATTCTACTAGCAGTAGAGGCTGTAATCGTCTTCAACTGGTAGAAACTCAGAGTGATCTGTGGGTAAACAACAAAGACACTTTTTCTGAACAGTACTATGCAATTTATTCAGATATCGCAGTCTCTACCCTGACATATATATATATATATACTTTCAATCAAAACTTTTTTTAAAAAATTAAAAAAATAACTTAAGAAATCAAATTTAGGGTAGTCGCATTTCTTAAATAAAAGGACTTGGGGTGTCCTTAAAACTTCTAATGTTTAGTGAAACTGTATGCTGGATGCCAGAACATTCCCACACCTTTGTCTGTAGGTAAGGCATCAGCATAATTTAAGGTACGGCCTTACATGCAACTGGGTGTTAACTGACAGTGATAAAACTTGTACATGAAGTAATGTCTACGTGACAGAAGAAATAACAGAAACTCACCTAAAGTCTTTCTCGAAGTGCTTCAGTTCAATAATTCCCTGAGATGACATAGGGCTCTCCCCAGACACGCCTTGCTTTTTGGACCTGGTCTCCGATACCGCGGGTCCCTCCTGAATCGTGGCCAATATATCCGGCCGGCCATCCTCATTGACCACCTTCAACTGTAACACTGATTTCAGTTTGTGCACTTCTTCTTTTAATTTCTGAATCTCAGAGTTCTTCTCCTTTATCACCCGATTCTTCTCTTTAATTTCCTTCTCATATACAGCCAGTTTCACGTCCTTGTCTTTGAGATCCGATCTCATGGACGGGATGAGCAACTTGATTTTGACCAAGTCCAAGGTTTCCCCATCGATGACCACCTGTGTGACACTAGCACCGTTTCCCATATTTTTGGCTGGAATTTTGGGGGAGGGGCCGCCGCCGCCGGTAGTGGCACTTACTCGCACCCCCGTGGGCCGGCTCCCACTTCCTTTCAGGCCTGAAGAGTTCAGCGTTTTGGAGGCGGTATTTCCTCCCGCGTGAGTTGTACGGTCCGACTGCACGCCGGTGTTTCCGCGGCCTGACGATGTCGTGCCTTTGCCAGCATTTGCTGTAGCAGTCGTGGCCACGGACGCTTTGAGCGGTGGTGGCATTTTACACACAAGTCGGTGACGTCACACTCAATCCTCACCCGATTGGCGCAAGTACGGTCTATTCTTAGAGAGCCACGGTGCTGACGATCAGTTGCATAGCAACGTTTCTTTAGCGTTAACTGCGAGTAAAACCGTTAGGACTCCATACTGGGCGGTGTCCCTGTAAATAGAGGAAACAACAAGATGTATGAATACTGTCATGGCAGCAGCGTCGATTCTACACATACTTTGATACAGGTCACTGCTTCATCTACTTAAGTAAGTTTATCACGATTATAGCTTGAAATATATTTCATGCTATAATCGTGATAAACTTACCATGGTGTTTGAATAAGACGAGATAATGCGTATCGATTGTTGATTCGTCACTGATACACGGATTCATTATATACACACTGCCAGTCGTGCGATGACGCGCATGTCCAATGATTTATCTGTATAGATCATACTATATGTATCAAAATTTGCTAGCTTGGGGGAAAGATCTACCGAGTTTTCAAATACAGAAAACTACGCTTATAATATATATGCAGTTTCAGGCCACTAGACTAACAACTAGTCTCTGAAACGAACTCATTTTACCGAAAAAATCTCATAGTAAAAAACATAAAACATAATGAAAAGGAGCCCTGAGACTTTAGCTGTGGAAATCTAGACTTGCCACATTTTCTAGACTTGCGTGGGCTTTCTTGGATATGTTTGTTTCAGGGTCTGTATGACAGATTACCAGGCCACTTGCTGTATACTTTAATTCAGCAGCGTTTAACGAACTACGGATATGTCAAAGTTGAATTGGTGGTCCCTTTGAGTTGGTTATAAGCCTTGTTTACTGTATCGTGTTTTAGAATGATAAAACGAGTTATCATATAACGACACGTTGGCATTTGTGGAAAATATAACTATTCGATTTAATTAACATTTGAAATATTACAGGGTATACTTCACGGGTATATTGTTTGTGTTTATCAGGTGTGCGACAGTCGTATGACTCGAATAGTTTCGATTCCCTAATTTATAGTAAATGTGTTTCTTGTTTTATCAGGTCCACATTCTGGCTCGCGGGTTTCGCCAAACTTCGGACTTTAAATCTACCAAAACAAAGCTGCCATGTATATAGCTGGAATTCAGTTCCTTTTAATATGTGGACATTCCTGCTTACCGTTAGTGAATGTAATGTAATAAAGTATGAAAGAACAGACGCCACAACAGTCCATAAAGCCGTCCGTATTTTTTCTGTTTCCCATCTCACATCCGCCCCCATCCCATCTCAACTTTCATTCCGACTATGGATAATACAACGTTTTCTTATCTTATTTTCCTCCGCTGCTGTGAAAATAGAATGACGTGAGGTAATATAAAGAATTAATTTTAACCTTGCACACGAATAAAATCACTCCATTCTTAATTTACATTTATCAAACATTGTTTCCGAAGCAAAGCGACTTGATTTACATCATAAATTAATTTAAGGAATATTGATTTATAGCAAACCAATACATTCTGTCCTTCAGGCACTGCCATACGACGTCATTGTGTAGAGCGAGTGTCAGTATAACTAACCGACCAATTCTGTCCTTCAGACACTGCAACCCTAACCAACCCACGCTACCCTTCAGACACTGCCACACTAACCGACCCATGCTACTCTTCAGACACTGCCACACTAACCAATGCACGCTACCTTTCAGACACTGCCACACTAACCAACCCATGCTACCCTTCAGACACCGCCACACTAACCAACCCAGGCTACCCTTCAGACACCGCCACACTAACCAACCCAGGCTACCCTTCAGACACCGCCACACTAACAAACCCATGCTACCCTTCAGACACCGCCACACTAACAAACCCATGCTACTCTTCAGACACTGCCACACTAACCAATGCACGCTACCTTTCAGACACTGCCACACTAACCAACCCATGCTACCCTTCAGACACCGCCACACTAACAAACCCATGCTACCCTTCAGACACCGCCACACTAACCAACCCAGGCTACCCTTCAGACACTGCCACACTAACCAACCCAGGCTACCCTTCAGACACTGCCATACTAACCAACCCATGCTACCCTTCAGACACTGCCACACTAACCAACCCATGCTACTCTTCAGACACCGCCACACCAACCGACCCATGCTACTCTTCAGACAACGCCACACTAACCGACCCATGCTACTCTTCAGACACTGCCACACTAACCAACCAACGCTACCCTTCAGACACCGTCACACTAACCAACCAATGCTACTCTTCAGACACTGCCACACTAACCAACCCATGCTACTCTTCAGACACCGCCACACTAACCAACCCAGGCTACCCTTCAGACACTGCCACACTAACCAACCCATGCTACTCTTCAGACACCGCCACACCAACCGACCCATGCTACTCTTCAGACAACGCCACACTAACCAACCCATGCTACTCTTCAGACACCGCCACACCAACCGACCCATGCTACTCTTCAGACACCGTCACACTAACCAACCCACGCTACCTTTCAGACACCGCCACACTAACGAACGCACGCTACCCTTCAGACACTGCCACACTAACCAACCCATGCTACTCTTCAGACACCGCCACACCAACCGACCCATGCTAGCCTTCAGACACTGCCACACTAACCAACCCAGGCTACCCTTCAGACACCGCCACACTAACCAACCCATGCTACCCTTCAGACACCGCCACACTAACCAACCCATGCTACCCTTCAGACACCGCCACATAAGGTCATTGTGTAGAGAGAGTGTCAGTACAACTAACCAACCCAGGCTACCCTTCAGACACCGCCACATAAGGTCATTGTGTAGAGAGAGTGTCAGTATAACTAACCAACCCAGGCTACCCTTCAGGCACTTCCACCCTAACCAACCCAGGCTACCCTTCAGACACCGCCACACTAACCAACCCAGGCTACCCTTCAGACACCGCCACATAAGGTCATTGTGTAGAGAGAGTGTCAGTATAACTAACCAACCCAGGCTACCCTTCAGGCACTGCCACACTAACCAACCCAGGCTACCCTTCAGACACCGCCACACTAACCAACCCAGGCTACCCTTCAGACACCGCATCATAAGGTCATTGTGTAGAGAGAGTGTCAGTATAACTAACCAACCCAGGCTACCCTTCAGGCACTTCCACACTTACCAACCCAGGCTACCCTTCAGACACCTCCACACTAACCGACCCAGGCTACCCTTCAGGCACTTCCACACTAACCAACCCAGGCTACCCTTCAGGCACTTCCACACTAACCAACCCAGGCAACCCTTTAGACATCCACTGAGCTTTAGTCTTGGTTATTTTACTTCATTTACGGCTACGGACAGCTGGGCGGAAGGGAAATTGATAAGGTTTTGGACTGTGTGACAGACCACCGTCCTCCCCCACTGACGTCACTGTGTATAGCTCTACAAGCACCCGTGTAAGATGCTGGTTATATTGGACACCAGTTGATCGCGAACCTCGCACTATGACAAGGGATGGGTGTTACAAACAAAGTTCTTCGCACGTGATTGTGACGCCACGACCAACTCGATCACAAGCGTTCGATGCATTCAGTCATGTCTCTGATAAAATAATAATTATTTGCTTTTAGGTGTTATAACGTACACGTCAACACTTCCATTAGTAATTTATGTGTTTACGGGTATAGATGTGGCTAATTAGTTTTGACAAGATTAGAAACACACGAATTGCTTGACTCATACTCGATTTTTCAGGGTTATATCGTCATCATCAAACACTTTCTGAAAAATATATTTGTTCTCCACATATCCATACAGCGTCCAAACGCAAACTGTTCTTATCTTCTGACATTTTTCAAAGTTGTATAAATTATCTATCGAACTACTGAACTAAATATACTTTAAACATCATATGGGCTTCAAACATCCCTATACCCAGAACCATTGACCGTTTATCTTTGACTTTTTCTTGAATAATAATTAGACCAGCAATAAAGGTATGTTGATAAAAAGTCTATAAAATTACGTAAATACAAAATAATAAAATGAAATAAAATCAAATCCAAAAGACCCCAAAACTTGATCTGAGGCACTGTCCTACGACTCTCGCTGGAGAGTGTCCCTCCTGTACAGGATCCAGTAACAGACGTCCTACGACTCGCTGGAGAGTGTCCCTCCTTGCATGATCGAGTAACAGACGTCCTACGACTCTCGCTGGAGAGTGTCCCTCCTTACATGATCGAGTAACAGACGCCCGATGACTCGCTGGAGAGTGTCCCTCCTTACATGATCGAGTAACAGACGTCCTACGACTCTCGCTGGAGAGTGTCCCTCCTTACATGATCGAGTAACAGACGCCCGACGACTCGCTGGAGAGGGTCCCTCCTTACATGATCGAGTAACAGACGTCGTACGACTCTCGCTGGAGAGTGTCCCTCCTTACAGGATCGAGTAACACACGTCCTACGACTCGCTGGAGAGTGTCCCTCCTTACATGATCGAGTAACACACGTCGTACGACTCTCGCTGGAGAGTGTCCCTCTTACAGGATCCAGTAACAGACGTCCAACGACTCGCTGGAGAGCGTCCCTCCTTACAGGATCCAGTCACAGACGTCCTACGACTCGCTGGAGAACGTCCCCCCTTACAGGATCCAGTAACAGACGTCCTACGACTCTCGCAGGAGAGTGCCCCTATTGTACAAGATCCAGTAACAGACGTCGTACGACTCTCGCTGCAGAGTGTCCTTCCTTACAGAATCCAGTAACAGACGCCCTTCGACTCGCTGCAGAGTGTCCCTCCTTACAGAATACAGTAACAGACGTCCTACGACTCGCTGGAGAGGGTCCCTCCTTACAGGATCCAGGAACAGACGTCCTACGACTCTCGCTGGAGAACGTCCCTCTTGTACAGGATCCAGTAACAGACGTCCTACGACTCTCGCTGGAGAGAGTCCCTCCTTACAGGATCGAGTAACAGACGTCGTACGACTCTCGCTGCAGAGGGTCCCTCCTTACAGGATCCAGTAGCAGACGTCCTACGACACTCGCAGGAGAGTGCCCCTATTGTACAAGATCCAGTAACAGACGTCCTACGACTCTCGCTGGAGAGTGTCCCTCCTTACAGGATCGAGTAACAGACGTCGTACAACTCTCGCTGGAGAGTG